CTATTTTAACAATTGCACAATTCCTTGGTCTTTAACTGGATGATACATTGGCTGGATTGTAGCTTGAGATCATAGATGACTGAATTTGCATAATAGAACACAAGACAAGCAGCTGAATGGAAGTAATGGAAACAAAATAGATAATGCCATCCCAACAAATCATCCTTGATTAAATTCCCAGACATTGATTAATAGTAAATAATTTCATATATTCTCAGTATCTTAAAACCTTGTTTGCATCCCTTCTCTTTAAGGGCTGTGATTCTTAAATAGTTCCTTCCTATATCTAACATCATCTTAATTAAACCAAATATAGGTCAGTGCAAGAATATTCATCAACATAAGCCGATATATCCTCTTAAACGAAACAATTCTTCATAAATATAAACCTTCCATGACCTTCCCTCCTAGAAATGAACTTCCATGCTGCGAGTTATTTCTTAAGAAATGAGTATGCTTTTTAATTTGTAGTTGGTTTCTTGGTTCTGGAGTGGTAACTGATGGCTATGGCTGAGCCAATCCTACCCAATCCAACTATGCCAATTGATTTACCGCTGAACTGGAAAAGGGAGCAGCAAAAGTGAAAACCAAAACAGGAATATCATTAAAAATTCAAGAAAACAAAAGGACGATATAATGATTCAAGTGAGCAGCCCTAACATTGTAAAGAGCCTGAAAAAATTAGTTAAATTCGCATGGAATTCAAGAAACCAATTTTTGTATTGTTTCAAAATATTTGCCAGATAAAGATGACACTGTAATTTTTGTCATGTAGGATAATAATTATGATTACAGAGAATGTTAAAACAAATATAACAAGATCGACACAAGGATCACAAACAAACTATTTCTATTATTACATGTCCTCCCCTTATAATTTGAAAAATAACATTGACCTTTTAGTACTTCAACACATTGAGCACAGTTTTACTCAATTATGAACAAACAAGAGGAATCATATCTGACTTCAAATTCATATAAAATATTCATAAAATTATTTCTACGTATCAGGATTTCCAATTCACAAACCTTAGTAGTCAACTCAAAATCACCATTTTTTCAGGATCCATTTCTCACAAACCCATCACAAGCACAAATCTTATAGGCGCTAGATTTTAATTATAGTTTTAATATCCATTTCTTACAACCCCTTCACATCACAAGCTCACCAGTTCTATCACAACGTATCAGGATTCCCATTTCTCACAAGCACAGATTTAATATTCATAAATAGATTGTAGTTACCTGAGATCGAAAATGGAAAACGACTGGACGCACGCTTCAGATTGTGGTTTTGAATCAAACCGAAATAGATAAACTAATCCACATACAAATGGTGAAATTTTATGGCATTTTGAGAACATATAATGACAAAACTGACAACAAGAATTTTAATAGTGTTTGACTAATATGCTGCCCAAGCAGTTTTAAATCATGTATATTCAACCTTTCAGATGATTTATGATGATCAAGTGTAGAATTGATTAGGAGATTACATAAGATTGGTAAGCAGATGCACATGCATATGATTTTTTTGTGAAATATTTCAATGGTAGATCCTACAATAATACACTGAAGGGAATGACTGTGATCACACGATTGGCTGATTTTCTTGTTTATTTGTCTTTTTCAATATTTCTTGCTGTCAATTTTGCCATTTTCTTTACACATTATAGGAGTGGTAAGAATAAAACCAAGAAAGTTCCACCAGGGTAAGGACATATGTATGCAAAGCATACTTAGAAGAGGCAAATACAAACCAACAATGAAAGAGTATCTATCATTTAGTAACATATCTATCATTTGCAAGTTCAAACAATGATAGCAGTAAAGTTGCCAAAAAATTACAACATTCATGTAAATATCACCATTCTATCAGAATCACCAAAATCAGAATATCAGAATCTTAAATCCATGTGAGACATTTGTTCTCTTCGAGCTGAACATAGACACAGACACAGGCAACATCACCATTCTATCAATTCCAACTCCATCACCATTCTAGCAATTCTACCAATATAGCAAGACACAGACACAGCTTTGTCCAGAAATTCTACCAACTCCACCACCAGCTACCCATTCTCCCTACGAATTCAACCTTCAATTCCGCCTCCACCACCAGTAGGCATTCCCCCTGCGAATTGACTGCCCAATCTATTATCCAACCCGACTCAGG